GCACCCGGAGACATTTTGTTGAAAGGTTTACACAGAGGTTTCAGTTAACAAAATATTTATCTTACAGCGGGAAAAGCACTGAAGTTAAATGCAAGCTGTTTCTCCTGTAAATGCCCTGGGTACATGGTTGGGATGCCGGCGTTAAGAATAGTAGCTATATTAGATATTTATATCTGACAGATCAGCTCGCTCTCCGAGGACACTGGAGCTAAATCCTGCCTTCTGAATTATACAGGCCATATTTCTCCAGTAAACTGTGTACTTTCTGTTTACTCCAGCCACTTGTGATTGCTCTGTTGACCTTTGCTTCTCCATCCTCCTCTAGAGTCCTCTGAAGGCCATGGAAACACCTCCATTTATTTCCTGGGACTTGAGACCATACTTTAGGGCCCTGATCCAGAACAAAGACCTCCTGTTCTGAGTTGGGAATCTCTAACTTGCAACTTCCCGTTTAATGTCCTCTCTTGTCTCAGGAAAGTTGTTTCGGGTCATTGCCTCAGTTTCTGCCATTCTCTTGCTTTTCATTAATAATCTAAGGTTAATACATATTCTGCCTGCAGCACCTTTATTATGAAAATCATTAACCGAACTCATCCAGATGGTTAAGCACAGTGAAAGTAAAGATGAGACTGTCAGTCACCATAGTGACAATGAGATGACAGCAGCTGTATAAAACCACAGAGGCAGGTTTAGACAGAGAGGATGTTAAAAAGCTGCCTGATTTGGTGATGAAATTCATCCTCTGTACACTGAATTTCCTGCTGTGCAGGTGCCAGAGGTCCTGTGATGTCCTTTGACATGTGGGGTTGCTTGAGCATTAAACCTCTGGGCTGACTCTGCTTTCTTCAGCCTGTGTTGAGAGAGCAGGTATTCCTCTTTGCTCAACGATGCTGGCTCATGTATTTCTTCTGCCCTTTCTTTTTCTAGCTTTTTCCCCATTCTTCTTGCCCCCTTCCTGTTTCCCTTAGGTCCCATCTTGCCTCTGTTATTCTCAAATGCTGAAGTTTTCAAATAATCCATTAATGTGACCACGTACATGGTTACATGCTTTTGTTTGAAGGGCCACTGCCAGCCTCACAGCACAGGATCGATGTCACCAATTAATGACTAGGAATTCAAGAGTTTGTTGCATGCACCTTGCACAGCATGTGATCTGTTTCTCACCTTCTTGTCCACTCTTGAGATTTTGCTTTGACTATGGGCTTGTATCTACTTGTGCGTAGCACTCTCCAGCATGGTATCTTACAGCTTCCTACGCTATTTCTTGTTTTGACATGGCTATAAGGCAAAGCTAGTGATGGTGTTCTCATCATGCAGATGAGAAGCTGATGCAAACACCCATGGCAAAAATGGTCTTTGCCAAAATCGTCCAGCAGTCCAGCAGCTGGAGTGGCAATAAGGCTGTGTAGCAGCTTTAGGTCTCATGCTTCCCACCTTTCTTTTGCAGCCCTGTGAGAGAGGAATGAAACAAATGTGTTTTCTGTGGTCTTCAGAGAGCAGAACGGGGGGGGGGGGGGAAGAAAATTCCAGTTGTGAAGATTGGAGCAAGACTGGAAGTGTAAGACTCACATCACTGACATCTGTCACTATGTTTGTTGGCAGCTGTGTTGCTGCAGATGACAGTGGTAGCGGGTTGAAGCCCTCTGTGAGCCATTGGTGCAGGAAGATTCCAGTAGTTTCCCTACTGCTTCTAGATGCAGAGGGATTCTGAGTCAGGGATAATGGGCCTGATTCACAGAGGTTTGGTGGCCACAAGTGCTTTTTACTCTCTTTTCTTTGCAGACTTTTTCCCTTTATCCAGGGTCTGTCCATCCAGTCCTTGCACGTCCATGTGTCCCCCACCACTGCAGCAAATCCTTCACCCTTCCCCTTCTAAATAGATATTCTTTCTTTCCCACCATGGGCCAGCATGGGAGATCTCCCAGTCTCCATTCCAAGATCAGACATTGTACAGCCTTTTTGCAGGAGTAATAAGAACATTTCTTCTTGGCTATGTGGCTGTAGGGAAAAGCAGTTTGCTATCAGTTGGTACATGGTATCTGGTTTATCAAGCGGGTAAGGAGGGAGAAAGTATGTTCCCTGCATACAGAAAGTCCAGAGGATTTTGTTGCTAAACTCTGAATCTCTGTTGAGCCTGTGTGGGCGGCAGTTTTCAAGTTCTTCTGCTTGACCAAAATTCAAGTGATTTCCTTAAAGGAGGAAAGACATACAACATTTAGATTATGAAAAATACAAAGGAGTGGTTAAAGACACTCAGCTAAATACTTGGGATTGGTTTTTATGTGAGTAATTTTCTTCCCTAATTTTGTTGGAAAGAGGTGACTCTTTTAAAAACCTTCATGCCGTAAAACAAACTAGTAAGAAACTATATGCAATTTTGTGCAGCCTGGTGAAGTTTGGGTGGCAAACATTAATTGAAAACAGGCTTAAGCAGAAAGTATTAGAACGTGTTACCTGCTAGTGTTTCTAGTATGACCAAACCATACCTGTGGGGTGAACCTTCAGTGTTGGCTTCCGGTCAAATGATGCAGAAGTCAGTTGAATAACTGATTGAAAACAAGTCCTGTATGAGACTTACTGCAAAGAGTTAACTGGATTGGAGAGCCCCATTGTCCATTTTTCTGCATGTTACAAAGGAATTGAAATCTTTCCAAAATGAGTGTGACATACTGGGGTAAAGTGGAGCATTCTTATTTGGTGGAATTGTACCATTGCTTTTACTTTCGTGGAGGACACTAAGGTGGGGCAGATCCACTGTAAGGCAGGTCTGAATTTTAAGTGCACCTAATCATGATGGCGGTTCAGTCTCAGGGCAGGGGGAAGGTGTGATTTGGTAGAGAGAACTGCATTTGGACCTGAAAAATCAGAGATGTAAGTACACCGTAGGAAATGACTGGGTTCTGTGTGGTTCAGCAGCATGAATCTGAGGATTATAGTGGATCACAAGATGAACATCAGTTAATAGTGTGAGTTTTGTGAAGAAGCCAAAATCATATTCTGACATATATGAGTAGAGGCATAGTCTGTGAGGTGCATCAAATGCATCAAGTCTGTGAGATGCACCTTCCTCTGCACTCAGTGAGATCAAGTGAAACACATTCAATTTCCTGGAAAGGTGGAAATTCCTGAGGCTGGAAATCTGTAAGATCATGTCAGGCAAACATCTCTCTGGAGTGATGTGGAGGTAGTTGATCCTGCCTGGAATTCAGGGGAATGTGCTAGATGATGCCATATGGTGGTGCTTTCAGGCTTTACAGCTCTCTCATATCTGCCTTCCCAAAGTGCAAGGCAATGGGGAACGTAAACGCTAAGCCTCTCATGTTTTTGAATATCTGACTACTCCCATGTGGTTGAGTGTTCATGCAGGTTTGCTCTTAAGGAGTTCCCAATGGCTCTCCAGCCAGACATGTTTGGTTTGGGGGGATGTAATGCTGAAGTTACTCTACTCTGGAGGCTCCAGCAGGCATTGTCTGGAGTGGATGAGTGCCAGGAAGATTATGGCACTTAGAGGAGGGAAGGTAGGAAAGGAGATCAGAAAGCAATTGGTGTGAGGGGGAATGTCAGGTGCTGGGAAAACCCCTTTTTGGATATAGTCCATCTCAGGCACTGGAGAGGACCAACGTGTAAGTTCTATTCAGAGGTGGGAATGACCTAGCAGTTCATTCCTCTCTTAAACCTGGGCAGGGAAAGAGTGGTCTCAGCTGCAGCTGCTGTTTGTGGTCTCCTTTAAGCAACACTTCAGCTTATATACCCTGCCTGGGAAAGCCCAACTCTTTCAACCCTAAGGTTTCCAAAACATGTAGCAGCTGGCCAGCCCCAGATACTCACTGCTGTTGGAGGTGAAGGTCAGAGCTGTTCCTGAACCCTCTTCCCATTGGAGGAGCCATGGCAAAGACCCCTGTGGGAAAGGCTGCTGAGTCAACCACGGAGTGAGCGGCTACCAGCAAGGCAGAAGAAAGCCTCTATGCTGTAAAAATAGCTGCAGTAGGAGCCCTAATATACTTAAGTGCTTATTTTTCCACATGTGATCTCATGCAAGCCAAGCTGCTGGGCAGTATGACATAGCAGTTGGCCAAAAATAAAACATAACTCAATCAAAATGTTGTTTTTTTTTCTGAAGTTAACCTTTGATGGGTGGAAGCGACAGGTACCTGTTTTCTCATTTCCATTAAGTTATTGTTAGAAAAAAAGAAATCCAGGGAGGAAGAGAGGTGAAGATGGGATTGACACCCAGTATCCATTTTGTGGTGATGGCCACAGGCTAAGGATAGGAATTGTAGCACAGGAAAGTTATGCCTATAATACTGTGGGAAAATGTACATGGTGCTTCTGGGTGCTTCTCCAGCTGATTTCATTGAACTCATTTCATTGAGTTTTGATAGGCATTTAATGCTGCAAAAAAACGTATGTATAGACTTGATAACATTTGAAGGTGAAGCCTATGAATGAGACCCAGTGCCAAGAGCCTGGGAACAAGGTGCTCTAATCCCTGTTGATATGCCTTGGAATAATGTCTTTATAGTGACCATCACTGCTTGCTGCTTGGCCTGTTGAGTTTTATTTTTTATTTTGGTCAATTATGGTTTGTTTGTGTTTTGGAAAGGGGGCTGAAACCATGCAACACCTTTGACCAAGCCATGAAATGCCTGGAAATGCTGTTAGTTTGAGCACTGTCCTACTGGGCTAGCATTATACTCTTCAGGAGAAGAGTACCTTACTAATCCCTTGCTGGTGGAGAATTGAACAGATCTGAGGAGTAGAATTGCTTTTCTGCAGCCTAGAAAATAGTGAAAAGCCTTTGTAATCCTGAATTTCACATGTGCAAGCATGTGCATTTCATGGCAAAACTCTGGATACAGACAGGCAGATTTTAGGTGTTGTTTTTTTTCCTAGCTATTAACATCACTTCTAATGATTTCAAGTTTTGTTTCTGTAACAGCAAAAGCCAGGGGAGGAAATCCCAGACATCACAATATTATCATTATGCTTTTCCTCTGCAGGGCCTCTGACCTGTTTCTGCTGGACACACGGGTGGTGTGGGCCTCAGAGGAGGGCTGGCTGGAGTTTGATGTCACCGCCACCAGTAACATGTGGGTGATGAACCCTCAGCACAACATGGGACTGCATCTGAGCGTGGTGACTCGGGATGGTAGGTTACGGGCGAGTTAATGCAAGTCACCTCACAGGTCTCTTGTATGATGTCTAGACGTGGTGCTGACAGAGACCAGTTGTGATATGGGGGGGGGTGAGCACCCTGCCTTTGTAGGCAGCTGTAGCCAACAACACGAGCAACAGTCTGAGGGCACATATAGAGGGCTGTCAGTTCTTGGCTATCCCATGATGGACATGTCTTTCCTGATGAGTGAGGTGAGGTGTCTCTGAACAGTACCAGGATGAGCTGGTGCAAGTGGGCTGGGGTAGGGCACCAATTCTTGGGTTGGAGGTGGAAGGGGGCATGAAGCTGGGGTTCCAGGTGGGGTGAGGTTTAGGGGTTAGAGGAAGAGAATTGAGCAGGGTTGTGGGTATGCACCTCCCCGTGTGGGATTATGGCAACCCTCCTGGCTGCTGCAGCTGCCATCACTGCTCCGATCTCATCAAACCTGAGGTGGGAGATGTGCACTGGAGAAGTGAATGCAGTCTCTGTGTGGGGCTGTTTCCTCTGAGGGTGGCTGCAATGATAGCATTTCACAGTCCACAGAAACTTTGCAAGGTGGAAAAGAAGAGAAGAAACTGCATGAAATTAAGTGTTGGAATATAAACAGTGGGGAAGAATAGGATCTAATGAGCAGAAAGTGACTAAAAAGATGACTATGACATCTGTTGTCCGTAGGAATCGGTCTCCAACCTTAGGTTTTCTTCCTATTGTTTCATGCTGGAGTTTGATGCACCTATGGGGTCAAGTGAGACCAGAGGGGCTATCCACTGTTCTCCCTGAGGAAACGTTAGTGCCAGCTTCCACCTTCCTAAATGGGCTGAGAGCTGTCCCTGTGCTCCTGACAAAAGCACCTCATCTCTTTGCCCTCTGCTCTCTCCTAATCCCATCTCTGCTTCTCGTGTTTCGTGGGCAGCAGAACTAATTTCATGACACATCTGGGCTTTGTAGTTTACATATCTATCTGTATACCTTTTCAGTGCCTAAACTGAAGTAGAGATGCCATTGGGGTACCAAAGACCCAGGTGCTGCAAGCCTCTCATCCAGGATGGATGGGGTGCTGTCATAAAAATATCCATGGGTCATGGTGGCAGGAGGGGAATGCTTAGTGATTAAAAAAGTGAAGTATGAGCAGGAAGAAAGGAAGCACTGCTGATGAGGATGCCAAGATGTTGGATGGAACAATCCAAATGCACTTTTTGTCTAACACTCCGCTTTCTGTTTGGTTTGAAGGTTTCAGTGTAAATCCTAGAGAAGCAGGCCTTATGGGCCGAGATGGCCCTTACGACAAACAGCCTTTCATGGTGGCCTTCTTCAAAGTGAGTGAAGTTCACGTACGGACCACTAGGTCAGCAACGAGCAGGCGCCGGCAACAGAGTCGAAACCGCTCTACCCAGGCTCAGGATGTTTCCAGGGTGTCTAGTGTCACAGGTAATGATCCAACACAGGTCATCATCCAACACAAGCTGGGCCGACTTCTTGTCATGTTTGTATTTGCTCTGAGTGCAGAAGCAAGAAGGGGTATGTAAGCTGGGATGCTCTTGGAGGAGCAGGTTGTATCTGCGAGGAAATGGAAGAGGGGGTCTAACTTAAAATGAGACTTACAGGAGACCTCTTGAATCCAGGGTGGAGTCCAGACCCCCATTTGAAGTTGCGGGCATTGAATTCATGGGGCTGAGGTGTTTTAACCCTGATTCTTGTGCTTCTAGGTTGCTTGCCATGCAGCATTTGCCCAGCAGTGTATAGTAGGTGAAATGCATTTTCAGGCAGGCAAAGAGGATTGTCTGTTTGCAGTGGAAATGTTGCATGTTGCAGGTGTTGTACAGCAGCTTTGTGAGTGCTGTTGTGGGCTGGTGGGACAATACAGTAACTCTGAAATTTTGGCAAAAATTGTGTGTTCTGTCTTCTGAGTCTTGTCTGTTTTCTAGCCACTGTTCCCCGCATCACAGTGCTGCGAGTTTTTCATTCACTGAGTACCTTCTTTCCTCTCAAACATTTCAGCCTGTTCCAAGTTACTTGATTAATTTGCTTATGCTGCCCCCTTCATTTCCAATAGGATCCCTGCTTTTCCTGTGTCTAGAAATGAGTATACCCCAAGGAGGAGAGGTGGCTGTATTTTTTACTCTATGTCCAGACACAGCACAGGGAGATAAGGCAGCATTGCCAAAGCTTAGCCAGCATGAATCAGTAGGCTGTTCCCTTCTCTTGCATGTGCACCCGAAGAGGCCCCACGCGTGGCAGGGCTGGAAAAGTGTTCACTCCAGGATGAAGCAGTATGTGAGCCCAGGGGTGTTACCCTGAAGGCTGTCTTGCTCTTCTAAAGGTGCTGTGATGCATGTGGACCCAAAGCAGGTGCAGAACTGGGATGCTGTAATCCCTTTGTGTGCATCAACCTGCCTGCACATCTTCCTCTCATTATATCTTACATCACATCAGATTTTTGGTCTATGGTCTTCCCTGAGCTAGGATTGAGACTGCCTATCAGGGGTTGAGGGCAGTTTTTCTCCTGGAGAACAAGGCAGCTGGCTGGTGTTGATGTTTTTTGTAGATTGAACCTTCCTTCATGTTTGTGAATACACAGGGCTTGCTTTCTTCAGTATAAAAATGGACCCGTTTCCCAAAAGATGCTGTGAGTTGAGGTGGAGTGGTATGTTTAAAAAAGCCCTATTTACTATCTAAATATGGAAAGCATTTCAAGTCCTGCTGTTCAGAGTGCATGAAGTATGCTGCTGGGCTGGTACAGGATCTGGTGAGCTGGCAGTGGGGGGGTTACATGAAGCCATGCTGCTACATGCAGGACTGGGACCCTGCTGTGCTCCCTTTGATGTGGAGCTGTCGTCCTGCAGTCAGCACCAAGTCCTCAGATACTGAGGTTATGGCTGTGGCATAAGAATCTCAATGGTCTGTATTTTTTCACCAAGGAAGCTCGTTTCCCTGTATTATCAACATGTAATTATGACTGGCTTTATATAAAGCAGAACTGAGTAACCCCCATGGCTATAAACTGCTTTGACAGAGAGTCCTGCATCAGTGCACTTCTGGAGCCAAGCTCTGTTCTTCTGCAGAAGAAGGATGAACAGGAAGAATAAGAAATATGTTCATCTGTTGAGGTGGAAAACCATATGCCAGTTCTAGCCCAGGACATGGAGGAGGAATGAGGTGGATGGGAGGAGCATGCAGGTGTTTCTATTCTGTTGGCTGTAAGACCTGGAGGTCCTCTCTCGGCCATGTCTTGAAATGGGTTTAGCTTGGGCTCTCAGACTCCAGGGCTGCCCCTCTAGTTAACCTAAAGAGCTGGGGACTCAACATAACAGGTAGTGAACCTCGAGCCTAAGGACTTTGCTGCTGTACAGCCAGCTCCTTCATGACTTACAGTTCCTGTATGGGGCTGTCTCTGTCCAGTGGTGATAACCCTCCTCTTCCGTCAGACCTCGGGCACATCCCTTCCCATCAGCCCCTTCTTATGGAGAGAGTTGCATTTAAACATCTGACTTGGGCTGCACTGTCTGCTTTGAGTGAAACTCACGCAATACCCCTTTTGGGGTCCTCTGTCGCCACCCTTTCGCCTCTGGAGCTGCTGTGAGGTGTTCCATGAGAAATGAAGGGGCTCTTCTAGTGGCCTTTCCTTCCAGCAGACATGCACGGCACCAGGCAGATTTCCCCACAAACACGGGAAACCGAATACCACAAAGGGCAGCATGCAGAAACACTGAAGGCAAATAAGGCCAATTGCTTCCATGATGGCAAGGGTCTTGTTAACAAACATCATCTTGCGGCCAATCTTCCCTTTAGTAAGAGCACTCAGATGCAAACTGGAGCGGTGTGGCCAGCATTTCTGTACGTGCCTTCACATGCAGGTCCACGTCAGCCCGACATCTCCCGTCTTCCCACCCAAGCAGATCGCTTTCATGTGAAGTGGGCTGTTATTAACTGTGTGATCAGTTTACACCAGCTTTATCCGGACAAATCACCAAAGTCAAACACCAAGAAGAAGGGGCTGGCCTCGGAGACCTCTGTCAAAGCTATTTTGAATCACAGAAGCAATTAATTACTGTGTGGAATTTGGTAAGCTGGCACCTTGGGAGCAGCAAGGGTGTTCTCAGACGGATGGACCTCAGTAAATATTTATATATTCTTTGCCAGCACTTAACGTGGGAGAGGATATAGGAAATCTAAGGTGGGTGCATAAGTATCTGTAGGAGGAAGACCATTAAGTCAGGCTATTCTCTCTCCCCTTTCAGCAACACACATGCCAGTGTCCAGCCTTAAGAGAAACATCTGTGCTCACAGAAAGTCAGACTTGCGTTCTGATGAAGGCAGACAACATTCAGTTTTGTAAATCTCTGTTTTAGACAAAATAGTTTGCAGTATGATTAAATGCAGTGTCTTGTAAATGCCAAGCTACTGTTTCTGAATTGCTACATTCAGGGGGGAAAAAAAGACACAATTTTGCTAAACCCACAGTGAGCTTATAGGAGCTCCCTAAACTCACTGAGATTTTGGAGGTCTCTGGCAAACAATCCTTGCAAATCATGTCGTGGCGATGTAAGCTGGGCTGTGGTGGCTATTTGCAGGGACACCACCCCCCCCTCCCCACTGCAGGCTGCCTCCTTTCGGCCCTCCTGGCTCCCCATGGCAGGGCTGCCTGGAAGGGACATGTACCCTGTTGTCTTTTGGCAGTTGGATCTTCCACTGCAAACCACCTCGAATGGCAATTTGGGTTAAAACAGGTGAGCATGATGGATTGGGGTAGCTGATGCTGCTAGGCTCTGGGGAAAATGTGGAGGCCAACTTCAGTAGCTCAGTGAGCTCTATCTCACCAGCAGAAACCCTTTACTGTGTGGGTTCTTCTCCTTTTAGCCTGCATGTACATCCAGTGTGCATGGTGGTAGGGCATATGTGGAGCCCCAGACCATGGGGAGTGGATCATTATTATGTGCATCTGTATTGCTGCATTTTTTTCTCCAACTCAGAAATCCACTGCTAAGGCTTGATTAAAGGTTTGTAACATCCCTAAAGTTCAGCTACAGTAGATTCCATAAAGTAGACCTGGTAGGCAAACATAGCAAGAAAAGAGGGCGCAGGAGCTTGGGGTGAGGGCTAAGCAGGGGACAGGGCAAATGCCAGGAGAAGGGATATTTAGTATGTCAACATTTAAGAAGGAAAAAAAACTGAGTTTGGGCAAGTGAGAATCATGGAGTACCGGGTTGGAAGGGACCAGTTTTTCTTGGCAAAAGCACAACCTAGACAAGATGGCCCAGCAGTCTGTTCAGCTGAATCTTAAAAGTGTCCAACATTGGGGAATCCACCACTTCCCTGGGCAGATTATTCCAGTGGCTGATGGTTCTCATTGTGAAAAATTTTCCTCTTGTGTCCAATTGGAATCTGTTTTCTGTATGATTCCTTGTAAGAAGGGAGTCTCAGTCTTCTTTGTAGCCACCCTCTCAGCCTCTCCTCAATGGCTTCCCAGCCCTCAGTGCAGAGTGTGAGTCAGGTCACTCCAGCTACTGAGCTGAACCGATCTTTGGGGGCCAGTTTCAGGCAGTGTGAGAGCGGACACGTTCATAACATGTTCTGCTTCATGTAGCTTGTTAAACAGCTCTTTTTTTTCCCCTTGTGTTTTCTTAAACTTGTGATTGCTCACAGCCTTCCTGCCCACTCCTGTTTTCTCTGCCTCCCTTGCCTTCTCCCCTTTCCTGTAGCTGATCTGGGTAAGGTGTAGCTGGATTTGGAATGTAGCATCATTCTGACCAGTTGATTGCGCATAGATCGACTCCACAGTAACTCCCTATCAAATACAGATGGTTTTCCTCTAAGAAAACTACGCATGTCCCATTGAAGAACAACGAAATTGTGGTTTTAGGTACTTAAATGAAAGCCTTTGACCGCTCAAAGTATCTTCTGCTCATTATGTTTCCCCTCGTTATGATCAGATCATTTGGAAACATCTCATGCTAGAAATCTGCTCCTGGGCCGAGCCAGGACTGAAAAGCTTCATCTGAAAAAACCCGCCACACCCTGGTTTCTACTGGGTATGTCTGGTTTGAAAATAGGAAGCTTGAATGGAGAGCCTCACCCCTGTCCTTGCTACCGAGTGCTCCTGAAAGAGCGAATGTTTATGCTGCAGCAGGCTGTTAACCAGCGCTGCTCACCTGATGAAATCCGTGATTGAAGCGAAGCTATTGAAAGCCTGAAATGCAATCCTTACAGTTTAAAACCCAAACTGCTTCTAAAAACAACTCTCTAATCTTTGGTGGTTTGGAGGGTGGGTTTGAGGTGTAGGGTTTTTTCAGCCCTCAGTGTTAACTGTACCCAGCTGTGATGCTGTGCTGCCCTTAATGTCAGTTGGATGTACTTTTAGTATTATAGTTTTTCCTTTGAATAAATATTTGCATTTGTAGTTCCCAAACTTTGGGGGGGTGGTGGAGGGAAGAAAAAGAAAGGCTTATTCAGAGCCAAGGAAAAAGCCACTGAAAATATTTTTCTATCCCAGCTGCCGCATCTGGGGAAAGCTACACTGGGAGGGTGCCCTTTCAAGCCGCATTAGGGGCGCTGGGGGGCTGGATAGCTGAAAGGCTCAGGACAGCGGGATGCAGGCACATCAGCATGTGGCATCTGCCTGCTGATGGAAACGCCTTTACTTGCAAATGAGGCGTGTGAGAGGAGAGAAGGCCCCTGTGGGTAAGGCACTGGAGGAGAACATGGCCAGTCTGTGTCTGGCTCTGGGATGAGCACACACATGTCACCGCGCGGATGGGGACCGGGGCTCCCACGCTGCTCAGCCGAATTTGCTGCCATCTCTTCCTCTTGTGTTTCCCATGGGGGCAAAGCTTGGGTTCGACAGCCGCAGCCGGTGGCCAAGGCACCCACCTGCAAAGGTGGTTTCTGTGGCTGCTGCGCTGAGGTCCGACAGCCCCGTGAGGCGTGACGGAGTCAGACACTGCCCATCAAGGCTGGATGTGTGCAGCCACCCAGGGGTGAAAGGCCCTTCTGTCACGGCTCAGCTCCTCCGCGGTTCCAGGTGTTCGTGTGTGGAGCCGCTTCTCATTCCAAATGTAAATGGGAAATTCCACTCGCAGTCAAAAGCTACACTTTGTAGGGCCATCAGGAGCAGCTCCTGCATGGTTGAACCATCCTCATACATTGTGCCATGGCAAGGAGGAAGTCTATGGTCAGGGCTTTGCACCCTGTGCCCTCACTTTTCTATGCAGTGTTGGCACTAAGGAGCAAGTTCATGTTGACAGCGCATCAAATCCTGTGTTATCTGCAGATAAGCAGGTTATGGGAAGGAGAAACTTGTTTTTCAGAGCATTGCTTGTGAAGGTCCAAGAGTGGCAGTGATGCATTGAGTTGTGTGTGATGTCTGGAGCAGGCTGGGGGTAAGGCACGGAGAGGGATGGGGACATGGCTTCACTGCCTATTGGACATCTTAGCTGTTTAAGGACCAGTACAGGGCCACAAGGTGATGATTAACCTTCCCAGGGTTGTAATTCTCTCGGTAAGTATGTGCACTTTGAGCTTAACCGCCTAGGGTGGCACACGTTGGAAACCACAGCTGTGGAAGAGGGGTGAGTTTGAGCACCCAGCAGGGATGCTCAAACAGGCCAGCCTGTCCCTGGCTGAAGGAGCAGATTTATTTTTAAGAAGTCATTTTACTGGAGATGTTTTACAAGTGCTGTTTGTCAAGCTATTGAAGGTGACTGAAGGAATTATAAGCAAGTCACTGTTCCTTGGGTGCTTCCATTCCCACAGGCATCTTAAAAGCTTCAGTCCTGCTTTGGATGTCCCTCAACACCCTTATCCTTTTGGCTGCTGAGGGAGCTGCTGTTTCTCACTGCTGAGCCCACAGCACAAACACATCTGGCCAGCTGTGCCCTCCAGTGATGCTCTGCCTGGTTTACTTTCTCAATTCCTGTTTTGTTCTTTTTCTCTTAACAGATTATAACAGCAGTGATCTAAAAACAGCGTGCAGAAAGCATGAGCTTTACGTTAGCTTCCAAGACTTGGGATGGCAGGTGGGTGATGTTTCTCTCTGGGTAAACTAGACATTTTGTTATGAAATGTTATCTAAACAGTGTCACGGTAATTCCACTCGAGGCTGCCATTATGCTTTAAAATGTCCCTTGTGTCTCCTCACTAAAACCAGTCACAGGGAAGGGCAAATAAATATTGATAGTTGTGACATTTGATAAGATCCAGAGGAAGCTTGATACTTTATGAGATTCAAATACACCGTCATTCTCTGTCACTCATGGGAGTCACAGTACGGGCAAGGGCTCATATTCATGTGCCTCTAATGATAAGGAAAAAAATCTGATGTTAAGCAGTGATTTTAAACAAGTGAAGTTTTTTTCTAGTGATCAGCCCTAATTTTAACCTTGGCCATTGTATTGAAATCCTCCCCCTCCTGCCCCACAATTAGCACTGGCTGCGGTAGGTGGACTGAAGACTGGGTTTAGTTGCAACACCATGAGCGAGGCCAGGGAGTTGTTTAGAGTAAGTCATTTAGGACCATTATGTATAGAGTGTCAGCAAACATCACGTTTCAAAGAATGCCCTCATGGACTCTTTTTAATTTATTTATTTGTTAAAATTCTTTCAGTCAGCACTTCTGTGAGGGAGGTCCCGTTTAGATCAGCCAATGTTTTTACCAGATTGTAATTCAGGATGCCAGGGCTACCCCTGCTGCTTCTCTAATACCCAACACATGAAAATCCTCTCCCAGTTAATGGGACAGCAACATTTTTTTGTAGCTTATGTCAACTTCAGCCCACTGGCCACAAACACTGCTGCATACTGACTCCATTCCCATTACTTGCTAGTGGCTTTTCTTTTTACTTGTGCACAGTCTTTCCACCTCCTCCCTAGCTTGTTTGCCCTGCTTCCAGGCAGGACGTGTGTTCCAGTTGTGAAGTTCATGGACTAGAGGGCACTGCCTTCACCTTTCTAGTTGCAAGAAAGGTAAGATGTTGCCAAAGAAAGGCCACAGACCAACAGGAGCTGGAATGCAGATCCTACTGCATGATGGGCAGAAGCCCCCTGCAGTTGCTGCGTACTGCTTTCTCCTTCAAATCTTTTAGCAGAGCACTTCCCTTATACTGCATCAAACCTCAACTTTAATTACATGGTCTGTACTGGCTGCTGCAGTAGGAGAGTGACTGTCTCATGAAAAGAAGCTCGGTTTACCGGGTGCAAATTACGGGTCAGCTAGTACAGAAAAGTGGAGGAGTGGTTTTGCTATGCCCAGGTATTCTTATGTTAGCAATCAACCAGCAGACATGGCTAGCAAAGCTGCAGCAAGGCTCTGGCTGCTTGGGCCTGCTGTAGCAAACTGCAAGCTAACCCAGGTAATTGTTGTCTGGTAAAGGATCTAAGAATTGCGTGCATGTGAAGTGCACCAGTGCATCCTCCTGCAGAGCCTGACACCAAGGGAGGTGAAATGCCTCCTGAGAATTGCTAATGGTTTTAATTTACCTTTGCCTCTTTTGTGTCAGCAGCAGAGAAGTTGTAATTAAATATCCCCTTGGTGAGGAGTCATCTTCTTCCATAGCATGGCATAGATTGCCAGTGGGGCCACCTGCTTGCACATGCAGCGCAGGCTGGCTGTCCTGTGTCTCCTTTAGGAGACTGGTAGAGGTAGAGAAGCTGTTACGGTGCTACTACTTCCCACCTTAGCAGACTAGTCTCCCTGTGTAAGAGCATATAAGGTAGAGTGTCTGTGAGCACTACACCAGTGTTTTATATTGCCATTCTGGAGCTCCCTGGTTGAACTGTTCATGTGTGCGCACAGATGCATGTACATGACTTTCTCCAGGAGGTAACGCCTCCTGAAACAGTGACTCAGCCTCGGAAAGGTACTTCAGCTAGAGGGCCTAACCTGCAGGAAATACTGGAAAATAAAAGCATCCAAACCACAGTCCCCACAGGGCAACCCAGCAAGAGTTTTAGGAATACAACTCTTAGTTCATGGCAGTAAAGATGCGCACAGACGTGCACCATTCTTTGCACATTAAAATCAGTGTGTCCATGGAAAAGTGATGGCTCACAAAAAAACCCGAACCCTAACAGCTTCAGTGAAAACACATTTTCACCCTCGAGAAAAAAGTTGGTGGAAAATTTTCATCTGCTCTTAATTGCATGCAGTTGTCTGTACAAGTTGGCAACTCTTTAATTTGAATCACGTTCTGTTTGTTTCCTAAAAAGGACTGGATAATCGCTCCAAAGGGCTATGCAGCCAACTACTGTGATGGGGAGTGCTCGTTCCCACTCAACGCCCATATGAACGCAACCAATCATGCCATTGTACAAACTCTGGTAAGGATCCAGAAAGCTCGATGCCAAAGCAATAGGTGAATTTGTAAATGAGTTACAATTGTCTCACTTGTATTTTCTTTTTGGCAACAGGTTCATCTTATGAATCCTGATTATGTTCCCAAACCATGTTGTGCACCTACCAAACTAAATGCCATATCTGTTCTTTATTTCGATGATAATTCTAACGTAATCTTGAAGAAATACAGGAATATGGTAGTAAGAGCTTGTGGATGTCACTGACAAACAGTCTTCACATGGACTATGCGATTCTACCATGAACTTCCACACCACATTCCCTGCTTCGATGAACTACCTGACCTTGGAGGAAAAATAACTGATGGACCACCTTTCAAAACACCATGTATGTGCCTTGTGGGAGGAAGGAGGGGGTGAGGACTACATGCTGGGGTGCGAGCAAACTGCTGGAATTCTTACCGACTGACCCCAGCGCCGCGGTGGCTGCTCAGCATTGCAGAGCCGGAGCGCGCAAAGCAGCAATATGCCCACACATGCTTTATTTGTCTGGGATGGTCTTAATCTCACATAGTGGCTTGGCATTTAGCAGTTTTGGATGTGTGCTGCAGTTTTACCAGATGGGCACCGGACACCCAAAACAACTGAGTCTTTTTAGGGAGATGGGGAAAGATGAGGGGAGAGACAGGAGAAACTAGAGTAAGGAAGGTGGTGTTAGTACTTCAGGCTTAGAGCATCCATCCTGTATAAAATGGATACTAAAAAATTCCTAAGATTAGGAATTGCCTATTGTCTAGAAGGACCAGTTACTACACCTAGCCTGTTAGTCTCCTGAAGTCTGTAATCATCTTAAATCGTGCCAAAGCAAATGTTTCAGTTCTCTTATTCTCCAAGCACAGTTTAAGTCAGTCTGATCCTGTGTAAGGTGGCTCGGCTGCATCCTGTGTTAGAAACATTAGTGTGAACTCAGGCGCTGGCTAGTCCTTCCCATTCACTACTAGACTGAGCAGTATGACTTCATACACTTGTTCTTACGCAACTTCCTTCCACTCCCCACGTGGAGCTGCCTCATCTACTACCACTTGCCCAGGAAAGAAGAGGGGCTGCTTCGACAGCTGTAATTCAGATGTAAAAGTTTAGGGGCCATTCGTTCTCTGGCTGGACAATTTATTTACAGGAAGACAGAATGTCAACAACATAGGCAAGTCTTTGGCCAACCTTCCCCAATCAACTCACGCAACTAACAAACTGGTATAAAGGACACATTCGTAGCGTAGCCACCGTTTGTCTAGCAGAAGCTAATAGCAAATTGTTTTGATCAATATTAAACTTGTATTAAATGCACTTACCTCTAATTCTTGCATTTAAAAGGCTTCTTGTAAATACAAGCTATAATTTATTGCACTTGTCACTGTATATTCATTGTGCTGTATCATTTATAGAAAGACTGCTTTTTGAAAAAGTTTTTATTTAGAAAAATCTCAGTGTAAACAATTGTACCACTCTGATTTTATACAAGAAACTCATGAGATTGTGCTTCACTAGAAAGTTGTTAAAAACATGATAATAAAGGCTTCCTTTAAGGCAGAAGTATACACATTGATCTAATACATCTGCCAGTACAACACTTAGCTTTCGCTGTGGCTTTTTCACCCTTACACATTTTTAGATTGAACAGAAACAATGTTCTGGACAGACAGTGAAGTACCAGGAGAAATTCACTGATTTAAAAGTTCATTGCTGGTTTGCCTTTTTTTTTTCCCTAAAAAATACCCAACCTACTCCATATGATGGACAAAAATCAGCATCTTGACAGCATAGTCAAATTAGCCATCCTCATTCCATGAGTTTCTGTGTGCACGACATGCAGAATTCAGTCCTTGGTTTGCTGTTCTCTTTGTATCGTGACAGTCTCTGCAGTGTAAATTCTTTGGCTTTCAGTTATTTCTGACACGGAACACCTTATGCACCAAAGAATAGATCCATATTATAATCCAAGGCACCATAGAGCACATGGTCCTGGCATTAAAACTTATCAATGCTTACAGCTTCGAAAAAGGTTAAGGCTCAAGGAAGAAGAGTGGGGAACTATTTTACACTACTGTAGAAGAGCTGAATGGGGAAAAAAAACTAAACATTGTACTATTCAACACAAAGTCTGGATTCAGGCGAGGGTAGGAAACACATGTCATCAGCTCTGAAGTCTAACTGATCATTTAGTATTAACGGAGCAGTTATAATAGCGCCTATTCACTTTAGCTCTATATAAGTAGAGCATAGTTACTCCTCTGGAGCTGGACAGAAGCAGCCTACGACAATCCACCTGACACATGTACACTATGGCATCAATAATGTTCAGGCACATGTTACAGTACCATCACTTTCATTATGGCTAGACCTCCCATGCTGAGAGGATTAACAGGTAATAACCAGCTCAGGGTGGCCTGGTATCTTCCAAAGGTGTGTGTATTTTCAACCTCCCATGACTTTCCATTTCTTACCAGAGCTATATTAAGACAAACAAGGTATAAGTACAGCTGTAGAGGCAAAAGTGACTCAACACCGTTGTAGCTTTTACCTTTCTAGTAATGGTAGGCAGTTTGTAAGGATTACTTTTGAACCAAATTTAACCTGAATACAAAAATATTCTGCTGGTGCCCTTAAGATGGTTTTCTTCATGTATTTTAGTCTCAAAGGAAACCATTTACACTTCATTGCGGGAAGGCAGAAATGCAGTAATACTACCAATGCTGAAAATATTCTCAATTTGCACAGTAACTACTTGTTACTTTTCCTTTGCACACAGGGTAGGATGTCTTTAACACGCACACACAGGGAAGATACCGATGTTTAGTACATTCAATTTCCTAAAAACAAACAAAAAAACCCCGCCCTAATCCCCTCCTCCCCCCAAATATACTATTTGAAAATTAGCAATGATTGAAATCCCTCAGCTACTGTACAGAGACAGCCAGGGATGGAGCATCTAGACTTTTATTACAGTTCATCCCTTGCCTGACGCAAGACAAAGCTATGCAGTGATTCAAGATCTCTCGTGCCATTGTGTTCACTGACTTTCTTTCCACCTCGGAAAAGCAGAAGTGTAGGATAACCACGTACCTTCAAAAGACACACACACAACAGAGACTTGTTACAGATGTCAAAATGCACTGGTATCCTTCACTTGTATTTACCTGACTCTGAAAAGACACCAAACCCCTCTAACACAATAAGCTACTTTAACTGAGAAAAAAAGCACCAAACCAACCCAACCACCACCCCAGAATTTCCAGTTATCATATTCACAAAGTCCAAACAGACATGCTTATTGTATAGTGACAGAGAGGTGCAATAAATAAAGCTAATCAGAGCAACTTGGTCTAGCGGGCGGTGTTCCTGCCCATGGGAGTGCGGTTGGAACTAGGTGATCCTTAAGGTCCCGTTCCACCCAAACCGTTCTATGACTCTAGGATAAGTGACTGGGATAATACATGTTAATCTAGGCTCTTGGAATGGCAGTTCCAGACCTACCGTCAGTTGTCTGCCTACCAGCACCAAAAGACTTATTTCCCCTAGAAATAGAACTTTGCATCAGCTACAAGAAGACTGCTTTGGTGTGCTCTCACAGAGGGAGGCTTCTTAAATTAGGGACTTCTTCAGCTTCATGCAATAATGACCAAGTCTGACAAACAGGCCCGGAAAGAAACTGTGTCACCGGGTGCTGTTCTAACTACCTCTTGTTTGGCTAACGGAGAACACAGCTGTGCTGTCACCAGGCACCTGCAGCGTAGCAGCAGCTCTGCTGCATGCTGGAGCTGCTAACGTTTGGTACACAATACTATCCTGTTCATTTCAGATCTTTCACACTTACAGAAAATCTGCTGCAGACGTTACGTTCCACAGTGCAGTCTACTTCTGCTATTTTGACATCAGTCAAACCTGGAAATTGCTCTTTGGCAAGGTTCTCCCAAGTTGGAGCCAAGTTCTTACAGTGACCACACCTAGAAACAAAAGAGGGAGATCTGTTTAGCAGATACACCTTTCAGTTTATCTCCACTGTCTTGCTGCAATGGCTGCAAGTTTAACCAGCTGCCTTTCCTATCCCCCAGTGATTTGGCCCTCCAACTCCCTTGCACTATTGTGTCACTAAATGAGCTAAGAAAATGAGTGACTTTATGTAAGTGAAGCACTGAAGTAGTTTCTGGCTTTCATTCGTCTCATCTGGAATGCTATTTTGGATGTCAGTGCATTAACATTTTACCCTACAGAAAATATGAAGCCAAGTAAAGACGAGCACAGAGGATATTTAAATGAGGAAAAAACCCAACCAACAAACCGACATTTTAAGTAAGGCATAGCATGTCTGTAGTACAAATTAAATTTTCAGGTAGCATGTGCTAAAGCTACATAGCCCAAGTTTAATTATTTATGAGATTTTAATTTCCCTATTAAATTTCTTCCAGTTCCTAATGACCTCCTTGTCCAATATATAGTAAAGAATTTTGTTTGTATTTTGAACTTGGCTTAGCCAAGTTCATAGCTTGAACTTCTTACTACTGCCTGCCTTCAAGAATAATTCCCAAAGCACTTCAGACTTTAAAGCTGTACTGCTCATTCTATTCTAACCCAGCTGCAGCTTATTTGGGTTAGTGAAAGAGCCTCGTAATTGCCTTGAGACTGGATCAGGGCATTTACAAAAATAATAGAAGATGTCTCAGCCAGAGTTTTCTTAATGCAAGCCAGTGTATATTTGAACCACCTTGTTAATATACAGTGACAGCATAAAAGCATTTCTGACCATGCACAAAAACTACTAGAACAGGCTGATTTTATGCTTACTATGCAAGTTTACATTAATATTTATCCAAAACAAACAAAGACAGAACTAGCAAGCAACATAATAGCATTTGCTGAGCCCTACACAACTTAATCCATTTGGAAGAGGAAAAGGTCCTTTATATGCAGAGCACTACAACTGCATACATAAGCCTGACTTTCAATGTTAAAACTAGGATAGCAGCTACACAAATATAGGAAGTATTTTACTCAACGGTGGATTTCTGAATATTGCAGCAGGGAGCACACTCTGGTTTATGAACCTGACTCTCTGCACCCTGAACCACCATGTCTCAGCTGACTACCCGACACTGATGGTATCTGTGAGATCCAGCAGCACCCCATCAGAATCTCATGAGATGAGGATATAACTTAAGTGCAGTATTAGTAAGAAAAGTTAATTAAAAAGGGAGCCTTTCTTTATCATCTCAAACTTTTCCAGAAAATTTTCTCAGACAATGAACTCCTATATGTGCCAACAAGCCCTGGGTTCACAAATCAGACTAAGAGCTGCTTTGTACACAGGTGTAAATTGAATTTACCAGCCAGTTCTGCTGGTGGTGTGGTAGGAGCGCAGGCACAGATTCCATATCAATCCCTCACAGCACACAGAGGGGATAAAGGGAATGAAGAAAGAGCACTGAACATGAAGGGGGTTATGTATGTGCGTATGGGCAGATTTCTTAACACAGTGGTGGCAGATACTTGCCCACATCCAAAAGCAGGTCTTTCAGATATAAGAGAGTACAGAAGTGGCTCTGAAGCAGTAAACCACACAGGTAAAAAAGGTGACAACACTGGGAAAGACTGCATCATTGAGATTACATAACACTCTCCCTGGTACTTTTTGCCTACAATAAGAAACACATGCATGCCTACTGCCAAAGTTAAGCTGCAATCTTTTGATACTCCTGCGTATATTTAAACATGGGTTGCATTTGCTTGTGTTGCTTTGTAATGGTGACCTTCCACTACCATAAACAAAAGATCTTTTTATATTTCATATATAGCGTTAATGGGATGGCTAATGATGAAATCAGTGATGTGTTATCTTTCACACAGCGAAATACAGCTTTATCTCTTCCCCCTCACCAGGCTTCCTTCTATTGACTGAGAGAATGGTCAATGGATGAGAAAGACAGCATGTAAGTTTCATTAAATTCATATTTTAGATCCAGACAACAAATACAATACTACACAAAAAGACCTAAATGCAGTGTCAGTTTAGGCCAGCAATAACCCTGAGTAAGAGGTACAAACTTACCACGGAGCATAGAATTTAATAAACGTGATCCCCCTAGCAATGGTTGCATCAAAGTCTTTTTCAGAGAGAGAGAGCACTGTAGCCTGTTCAAAAAACAAACAAAAAAGTGTCAAGACCTTCTGTATATGCAACATCAGCCAGATGAGCTTTTAGCTACCTGAAAGGGAAACTCAAACTGCAAAAGATAATGTTACTGATAATATAAATGAGTAGCAGGAGTACACCTCACTTTTACTCCTCAGTTACTTTCCTCCCCTGGAGAGCTGTAGACAAATGCGTATTTCACACTGAATCTCATCCATAATTGGAAAAACAAAACATCCCTGTTTTCAAGGGATTTGCCTGTATCCAAATTTTAGTTGCTGAGGAAAGAAAAAAACTAAAAAAAAAAAAAAACCCACCACCTTCATTATAATACACTGCCATGAAAATGCTTCAAGGAACAGCCCTGAGAAGAGTTGGCTCAGAGCACATAATGGCCATCTGAGAGTTTAATGAGGTATTCAAGGCATACTATGATGTCTTGA